AACGAGTCATTGAAAGTCCGACGAAACAGTCTGGCACAGTCATGCTTTTTTTGCGGCGTTCTGCATGGCAAGCATGAGAACACACACACACGCACACACACACACACACACACACACACACACACACACACACACACACACACACAAATGCTCTGTGCATCCACGCTCGTTTCATTAAATATCCTACACCTCTTTTTGCATACGTTATCTAAGCTCCTGAGGCGAGGACCGGGTAATGCTTCCTGCTGTCTGTTTCCTATTGCAAACGCAGGACAATGACAGTTGTTCAGATCAAACTCACAGAACGCCATGCAGTGTTTCTGGATCTCGATTTTTTTACCACCTCTCTTTTATAAGATTGGCTTCGATAAACAACAACATGGTGGGGAGGAGGAATAGCAGGAAGGCGAGGAGGAGGAGGAGAAGATCAGGAGGAAAAGGAGGAGGTCGGCTTCAGCTTCTTCTTATCACTACTCATGCTGCACCCCATCCCCCATCTCACCCGTGCCCAACCACCCCAAGGAAGTTGATCATTCATGGTTAGAGGGAGTCCAAGAGGAAGGCCCAGACGTGGAGACCATTGTTTGGACCATTTAGAGGGACTGTGGGGACTGGAGTTTGGCTGTCTGTAGTGGGGCTCCAACTCTAGGCAGATCTGCCTTTGCGTAAGGGAGCCTCTCAGTGGAAGTCGTTTAAGCAGGCGCATAACGCCAGCAGTATAGGCCTGAATGCGATTTTCTACGGGCTTAGCAGGACAGGCAAATCAGGCCACGACGTCTTGCCCTGCAGTTTTGGCATGCCCAGAGGGCAATGCTTCCCTTTCTAGGGTCTGGGTACCTGCAGTTCTGGCATGTCCAGAGGGCAGTGCTTCCTTTCTCGGATCGCAGAAGAAACAGTTAAACCACCAGTACCTCCACGTTTTTAGGCCGTTAACGCAGTGGCTGAATCGGTGCGCCGTGCAGGTCCATAAGCATTCGCATCAGAGCCTCCCCACCAGTACCTCCACGTCTTTAGGCCGTTAACGCGGGGGCCTAAGACCATCTGGGGTACTGGTGGTTTAAGCAAAACGTCTCTACCGCCTCTGGGACGGGACAGCCCAGAATGAGAACTACCCTTTCGTGATTCAGTCAATTCTCAGCCTGAAAGGCACAGTCACAACTTGTACTCTCTTGTGAAACCCTCGAACAGAGCCAGCACACCTTGTGGAACAAGTCGAAGCCAATTTAGAAGGGAGTCGAAGAATAGAATCATAGGAAAGCATGTCTGAGCCGATGGTGTTTTCACACAAAGATCTTAGAAAATAGCAACATTCAGTACCTATTTTCAGTTGGATAAAGATTGTCAGGAGAACTCGATTCACGACCATAAAACCAAGGAATGAAATTAAAGGTTAAAAGCTCATAGGAAGGCAGAGGTTGGCGAGAGAGAAAAGAAACACTTACCAGTCGTGCAGCACTGTTGTGTACACATACAGTTGCCTTGGCCCTTACTCGCGGGTTTCTGTGGGCAGCGTAGCTGATGAGTTTCTCAAGAATGGCAGCAGGAGCCAGAGACTCTATCATAACAAAGAGTGTCTTTTCTGCTTCCTCGCAAACGAACCGCTTATCTTGGGAAGCTTTTAGCAAAAGCTGCAGAAGCTGCCAGAAAGCCAAAATGAAACCATTTTACAGAGAGATCATTAGCAGACGTTCGCACCTAAAATGAAACCATTTTACAGGGAGATCATTAGTATGTTGGCACCTAGTCCATGTGGCTGAATCAGATGGATGCAATAAGGTTAGGGGCCAGCCCCTTGTTAAAAAAAATAAGTAAAAACTGAAAGAAATCAATGTTCTCTGATGAGACAGTCCCACTCCCCATTTCCTTCCTCAGATTACTTTCATTCTTCTTATTTCATCCGGTCCTTCGTGTCACACACAGACAGCAAGGTTAACAGAGGCCTAAATTTTCTGGCAATTCGTCATGCCATTTATAGCAAGACCCAAGCGTCATTTTAATCAAACTTGCCACCAACCACAACAAAAACAGGCAAAAAAAAAACACATAAAATTTGACCCCCAAACCATAATTTCAGTTTTGAACCCATTAACCAAGGAGCTGAAAACAGGGGTCCCTGTTACACCACCAGTACTTGGCCCAGCTATCCGCAGCCCAAAAAAATAGAGTAGAAACATTTCTAGTCGGATGAATTTGGGCGCTCCTGTAGTGGCGCGTACGTTTCCTAAAACTGTGGCTTCTTAACCGACACAACTTCAGGAAATACTGGTGGTTCACACGAACCTATATTGACGAACCAAAAGTTGCACTTTTCCGAGCCCGACTGTTACAGCGACAGGCTGAAAAGCAAAATATTTTGGTACCAATACCAGCCTACCTTGAAACTCGAGTGTTGTACCTCATGCCAGCAGATGGCACCGAAACGACAAGCAAAAAAAGAAGAAAGAAAAAAAACTAAATCCAGAGCAATGATGAACAGAGGCCATTGCCATTTCATGAAAGTCGCAGAAAAGAGATGCAGACAAGAGATGTGGGGGAAGGCATCTCTGACCTAGGGCATACTCACAACAGTGCTGTCCAGAATGTATCTGACCACTATCACGGCCAAATCATTGTCTTTTTTTTTCCCTTCTTCTCTCGTTTAGTGCCCTGCCAGCAAGGCGGACGTTTTCCACGTTCTCAGGAAAGGCCCTCACTGAGGGCATACTCACACTACTACTTTCCAGAATGTATCTGACCGCTATCACGTCCATATACTCCATTCCTTTTTTCTTTGTTTCCTTTTGCTTCTTTCCTCCTCTTCACATTCACAGGAATGCCCTCACCCAGGGCATACTCACGCTACTACTTTCCTGAATGTATCGGATGAGTATTATGTCCAAAAAAATGGGTCTTTGTTTTCTTTCTTGTTTTGTTTTGTTTCCTTTCTTTCTAAGATTAGTGCCCTGCCAGCAAGGCAGGGCGTCTGAGTAAATGGTGCAGTCAAGCCCCGTTTCTCATTTCTTTTCTTTTTCTTTTTTTGTTTTGCTATTTCGCTTTCAATCGTTTTGTTTTTGCGCCCACCAGCCTTTTCCGTCCAAACCTGCACCGTGCCGGATCGCTGTTCATCTTGCCACGGTTCCACTGTACTTCGTTTTGGTGAATAGCACGGGTCCATGAACTGGTGGTTTAAGCCCTTTTGTGCCCATTCATGTAATCATCAACCCATGTATGGAGTACTGCTCTTCATCCCATGCACTATGCCTCAATCCGGGTTTTCATATTAGGTTCTGTGTATTCTGTGTATTGATTTTCTAATTTAACAAAAACAGCTCGTTATGCTCGTGGAAGGTTGAAGCAGGAGTTGAAAAGTGCTTACCGGTTATAGTCACGGTACAAGTGCTGTCATGTGACTCTAAATGCATATAATTTCCGCGAGTGCTGGGACTTTGTCAACTGCCATGATTTTTCGTGATCCATTGGTTTATAGAAATCTGGGTTCCCCATGCACGTGCGGATGAGCAGCAAGTCCCCACACATCTGTCAATTAAAAGCGCATTTACACTCACCCGCTTAAGAGCACTCTGGCATAGGTGTTAGCGCACCACGACATATGGCCTCTTTTTCCCGATGACCAATTTTGGCGGCTCCTCAACCTTTAAATCGTCCCAGCATGGGGCCTGCCAAGGGCCACAACGTCTTCGGTCCAGTAGGCTGAACCTAACCGCAGCTCCTTGTTCATCAAAGTACAAGGAAAGGCCCGAAGTAATGGTGATTCAAGTGAAATAGCGGGGGTGGGTAAGAGGGGGGGGGGGGGGGGGGGAAGAGGTGGAATCACCTAGCCAAACCAAACGTGTAAATAGAAACACAATTACCAAGGCATTTCCTGACTATCCAAGATATTCGCACAACGCAATTGCGATTGCAAAACAAGCTCTAGGCTCCAGATAGCAGCACAAGAAAACCAAGGCTGAAACTGTACTCACCAAGGAGTCCACATGGACCGCCATCTCATCTCCAAAGCAGCGAAACAAATCAGCAGTGGCCATGATAGCTGTCTTGCACAGTGCACTTCTAGGGTTCTTGATGGATTTGATGATTGATCCAACAATCTTGTCACTGCACATGCACCACACAGCGATATCATTCACTGTGAACAGCAAGCTTGCCAAAGCAAATGCCACAGAAGGGGGGGAGGGGCAAATTTGCAGCTCGACATTATCTCATGCATGTGCACGTGGTTCACTATAAATGCGCAACAGAGTAAGAGGGACCACACCTAGACTTGCAGAGTGCAAGAATATGTATAATGATATAATCTTGCACTCAATCAAACATGATTTTAGTCGTGTCACAGTACAGCAGCTCAGGCCCAAACTAATGGTATTAAAAGTCATTGTGAAGAACCTGCAGCGCACTCAGCTAAAGAGAAGGGAAGGGAAAGAGGGGATTGCGGGGGGGGAGGGGGGGGCAGGCGGGGGGGGATCAGAAAGACACTTTCAAGATTAAAGTGATACCCCCTACTATGGAGAATGTCCTGAGTAAGCTAGGGGATCTGTAACAAAATGCATTCTCAGCATCCTATGGCACTCATTGTTGGACGCCGCTCAAATGCAGGCAGAGATTCACAGAGAAGAGAGAAAAAAAAGTTTGTTTTGTAGTAAATTTACACACTAAGCTAGGGGATCTATAACGAAATGCATTATCGGCATCCTATGGCACTCATTGTTGGACGCCGCTCAAATGCAGGTCGAGATTCACAGAGAAGAGAGAAAAAAAAGTTTGTTTTGTAGTAAATTTACACACTAAGACGTTCTAACAAGACACGGATGTTGCTCAAATGGTGTCCCAAGTCAAGGGTGCCTCTCAACCAAAATCCCCTTAGCGAGCTTTAACATGGTATTCCCCTCGTGTGTTGGTTTCCGTTCCCCTCGTGTGTTGGTTTCCGTTCAGACTGTTGTGCAGGTGTTCACCCCATTTTAATCTCCTTCACGTTTGTTGGCTAGAACCTTAGGGAGCTGGAGCACTGCCACAGGTTTCACAACTTTCACTTAAAAGTGAAGTAACAGGCACAATTGGTGCAGGTTACTTTCAACTGGCGGAGTACGTGGGCCAGTCTTCTATATCTGGGTTTGCTATAGAGGCCAGGAGGCACTGAAATGGCTCTCACCGAGCCTCAGTGGTTGACCAGGCATAGTAAGATCATCCAGCCTGACTGTATCAACGTCTCTGGTAGGACGCTCCATGACTCCTGATGTTGCTCTTTTAGCCTGAGGCGTCGAAGGTTCACCATAAAGCCCATCTATATTCAGCCGGGTCTGCACCCGACACCGCTGAAAAATCATAATGCAGCAGCACGTACAAAGGCAGCGTGAATATCTTCGCTTTGTAGCTCTGGTGGGGGAAGGTCGGATCTGAGGAACATTCAAACCAACACGAAATCCATGGTGAACAGAGGCGAAATAAAAACTAGATGCCATTGCAAGCCGGCCCTCATCGCCGCTCCACAGCCTGGACCAATGGCCTGCCTCTGCCGGCAGAGGCAAGGTTTGGTAGACCAGGCTCGGAGGCAACGGGGCTTCATACCCACCACTAAATCCAGTAAAACTGAGGGCAGGGTCTGTAGCTCCAAGAAAATCCATAGCAGCAGACAGGCCACTACAGGTCATCACGAAAAAGGCAGGCCCTCCTGGAGTCCAGAAGCCTCTGAAATGTAGTTGTGACCTTAGAGCAAGATAGCACAAACTGTGCTACACTTAAGAGCAAGATGGCACAAACTGTGCTACACTTAATCTGCTGGGTCCGGGTGCATAACATCTACACAAGCCCAGCAGATAAGGAAAACAAAATAAAGACACTCACATCAGTGACGGTGACACACTAAATACGGGACACAAACAGGAGCTCAGAAGAGGAGCTAAAGCCAAAAGCTCACACACAGTCAGGAACTGTCGACCTGTGATAAATGCCAACATTCCACACGGCTCAGCATACCATGTGCGAGACAACCCAACGGCACAAAGATGGCCACGCACGTCCCCTTCATTGTCATATTTCTGTAACCAAGCCGCCCATCCTCAATCTCTCCATTGGCACCCAAGGAGGAGATGCGTAATGAGAGCAGACCGATCGACAGTGACTAACCATGAAAGACTCTGGGGTAAGCACAAGCTTTGGAGATGAAAGTGCTGGCACAGTTTGGGTTCAGACACAACGTCATAGGCTACATTCATTCCTGCACTCCAAATGCGCGCCCCTGAAGAACGTAACAAACATGCACTATTGCACTTCGAAGGAATCTGCGCTAGTGGGGGAAAGTGAACTGTGGTGACGGTCCCCACAATGTAATGGAATTCCAAGAGAGAGGCAGAATAGAAATCCAACAAAACGAATGACAGAAAAAGAGAAAAGAGAAACGAATCGCCGCTGCTGAAATGGGCCTGACTACGGCGATAGCACAAACACATTGTATTGAGAATGCCACTCTGATTGGCTTCCCAGTCAAGGTGGGAGGGAAAGCAGCGAAGTACCATGAAATCGAAGAAATGAGAAAGCGAAAAGAAAAAAAGAGAAAAGAAAAGGAAAGCAATCATCCCTGCTTGAAAAGCGGCTGAGGACTACAGATAACGAGAACCACATGGCTTGGTGCCCCAGTTGTAGCGGCCGGGAAAGCAATGTACAATGGTGTAACCTTATGCCCAAGACCTCAGAGGAGGATATCGAGGAAGAGAGTGCCCTTGCTTTAGTAGGAAAGGAAAGAAAGAGCAGAAATTGACATAGTGCAAAAAGATTATTATAACCAACTAAACAGAAGACAAGAAACTCATCCTGAAAGGCATAGGAGACAACAAGCTGGTGATTATACTTTTCAGAAAGAAGGAACCACAACTTAGATGAAGGTTTTCTGACGATTCCTTGCCAAATTTGCATTGAAACTTTGGTGCACTTGCCAGCTAGAGGCAGGCCATACGATTGGCATAACTTACAGAATTGAAGATATGTCCTGTTTTCTATAGATAGCAAGTTGCCGCACGTTGTTCAAGGCTTCCGAAATGACCACCCAGTCCTTGGAATCAAGCCGTTGCAGAAGCGTCTGCATCAGAAGAACAGGAGATTGCGCAAAATCACACAAGGACAAATGTCAATCCTCATGTTCCCATCATCATCATTATCCACTGCTATTCACGTGTGACTTAACTAAACATGGCATAGAACGCACCACATACACCCGGAAAGAATATTGTGATGAATTTCCAAAGTTTAGTCCAAGACATTGGTTCTCACTGCGCCAAGAGGGTGACGTTCAAGGGACTGGGTCTGGCATCCAAACCAGTTATACACCACACTCTGCAGACCTGAGCAAGCTCCCGCAGAGTTTTGCACGTGTCCCAATGGACTTACAGGGAGAGAGGCCACAGCCTAGCAACTGAGGCACAGCTCTGTATCTTTGGGCTTGTAGCCTGTATGGATTGGTGTCTAGGACCTGCCCAGACGACCAGACCAAAGGTTCCCACCCACCCTCTGNGGATTGGTGTCTAGGACCTGCCCAGACGACCAGACCAAAGGTTCCCACCCACCCTCTGTCCGCTCATGCACAGGGTTCCCCCTTAATTCTTCCCTGCCTGCAATGTAGCTAAGGATATTGCCAAAAGGTCGGGATGGGAGACAACCATTCGTCCCAACTTCGAGATCTCTCAGATGGTCTGGTCTGAGAAACATGTAAGCGGTGGGGTGGGATCGAGGAGCTCCGTTTTTGTATCTGCCAGGCCCAAAGGACCCTTCATATGGAGCAGTACACAAAATTCTTTTCAATGGGTTCAGTTCAGTGACTCCCTCTCTCCCATTGTCTCTCCATCAGAGAATTGAGGGAACCCATCCAGGATCGAGAACCGTGTTCCTATCTGTCGCATATTTTCTCTCAAGGCTTAAACATTCTCCCCTTCCAGTTGACTTCCCAATTTATGGCTGGCCTTTCCTACACGGTCCCTGAGTCCCGCCCTCTAGCTCAGGTACAAGGTATCTTCTCCTGTAATCAAATACGCTACTACCTCCTGACGCCAAGGGATCTCACATTCATCAAATGCAGCCGCTGTACAGGTTCAGTTTCGTTCCACACCCGCGCATCCATTGCTAAGTTCACTCGTTCACTTATCGTCAACTATCATGGTTTGATTCATTCACCAGAGCAGTCGGCAATGCAGTCAATCATTCGAGGTGGGACCCCACTTAGGGCGGCCCGCAATCAACAAATGTGATTCATTCCTTCACTACCCATGCATTCATGTTCATAGCGAGGGAGCTCCCGCCTACCTTGTTCCCTCGAACGTAACTCCCTATTATCAAGGGGGTATTTGACCAGAATAGAGCCTAAATACGTTCATGATGACGCGGAGCTAACTCTGTGCAGGGCGAGTAAGGTAGGCAAAGCGATACTGGTCGCGGCCGCGATATACACCTACAGGCGGCACCTATCATAATTTTTGAAATATTCTCATTGCTATTTTCAGCACCCCGTTTTTATTTAATAATGGTGGAGGCAGGATTTCTCAAAACAAGATAGCATCCTACATCACACCTTTTCCCGGATATTTCTGATAGTCGGAGAAAGCCCGGGAAGGGGGGGAGAAGGAAGAGAAGCGGGCTTCTCATCGTAGGGACGCCTTTCTTAGACAGGATTGTGAAGAGGACGCGGGAGTGGGCTTCACCCTTTGATTGGTCAGGAGTGCAGCCAGGGGAAACGCGTCAGGGAATGTGGGCGTTGTACGTCGGTGTCCATGCAGGAGCTTTGATGTGCATGGGCGTTGTATGTCTGTATCCGCGCAGAAGTTTTGTGTGCGTAATTGGACTTGTAGCGATCGGCCTCGCTACGATATCTCAATAATGAATTATCTCAATTTTCCTTTTTTAATTCACTTTGCTCCAGTCTATTGGTGGGGAGCGACACCTGCTTGAAATCAGGTCCAGCGTCCCATTACACAAATAATCAGCGAATCGCAACATTAATTAATACTCTCAAATATCTTCACATTCGATTTCAGCGAAGCCAGAAGGATACGACGCGCCTAGGTGGGTAGGCGCTACAGCCAATCACTTCATTTCTTTCATTGCCACCATTCACTAACCTGCACTCGTTGAATCCCAGTCCTCCAGTCTTTTCGGAACACTCATTGATTATTCGTCCGTGCATCCAAGAGCTCACTGGCGTTTTCTAAAGATGTGTTAGCAGGCTATGTTATCGCCCAGCTCCACCTTGATAGTCGACTTCATTGCCTCTCACTCATTCCACAACACCAAGCGAAATGATTACCGCGTTCGTCAATTGCCTACACGCTCGTTTTGTACCGGTGCCAGTCGCTGATCCCCGAAGATTTGTTGCGTCGATTGCACAAGACATGCAACAAAAATTGGAACAAAAACATCAGGAGGTCGTCGTCGGCACCTGTCGAGAGGGCACACAGCGGGGGAGAGGCTCGGTAAGAGGGGTCAGGTCTAGGGATAGGGAGGGAATCAACCAACTGTGTCTTTTGTTTTTGCTCCGGGACTTGTTCGCCCACACCAGAATATGGGTTCTTCGATTCGCCAAAGGTGGGAGAAACAACCTTTCTCTGATGCCTCACAATGCCTTCGCCACTTAGTTGGAAGTCGAGAGAGTGTGCTGCTTTAGGCAATCTTAATAGGTCGATGAGAAAATCCGTTTTAGGTTGGGTCGGGCGTTTGAGCGTTGCCGGGCCCTGATGCATGATGTGGACCGTATTATGCAGTCCCGCCAAGGACCGCTACGTAACCGAAGAGAGGCTGCTCCGTTATCCTGCTGTTATCAACCTATCTATTTGTCAATAAAAAATCAACAAGTAGTCGCTACCAATCTCACTTTCGCGGTCCTTTAATCGATCATCTATCAATCTATCAATCTATCAATCAATCAATCAATCAATCAATCAATCAAATCTTCCCCCCTCTTAATCAATCAGTGTAACTGTTGCTGTATCCACTGTTCTATTCTGTCAATCCATCAATCCATCAATCTGTTAGTCAACTAACTAGTCAATCTTTTTTGTTTTTCCCAACACCAGTCAATCTTTCGTTTCAGTGATCGATTGATCGTGGTTTGATTGATCTCACGGAATTATTTTTGGCACATGCGGGATCAGGAGGTTCTTAGTTATTATATAACGACAGGCGAGGGACGGAAGTGAACGGCGGACTTTGCGCCGTTTGGCCCATCCGCCGTACTCCCGTAACACATCTTTAGAAAGCGCCAATAATACAAAAGAAATCACCCCCAACCATCTCGACATGAATACTCTCGACGAGTCACCACACGTCCCTATTTGAGTATACACAAGTGAATTTCTAAAGACATCCATGGGATCGGCTTTTTTATCCATCATCATATCGACTGAGGATTCCTAATGTATGCTCTCTACTGACAATGTGAACTGGCCGGCAGAACTAAGCCTCTGACGCCGCTGCGGGCTTCCTCGCCACCCGTAGCAGGATTCTCAGACCGAACACTGTCAACTGCCGGAATTTCTTGATAGTATCATTCTCTCTCTCTCTCTCTCTCTCTGTGTGTGTGTGTGTGTGTGTGTGTGTGTGTGTGTGTGTGTGTGTGTGAGTTCTTCAACAGTTTCTGCGGCATATTCCGCAATGCAAGTCCCAGGAATATACTGCTCGCTTCCCCCTACCTCGTCCCGAAAGCAAACACACCCAAGAAAACAAAAGAAAAAAAAATAGCTTCCCGACTTTGCCTTTATTCGACACAAGTTCAAGGAAGCAAACTGCATAAAGTCGTTTCCCATAGGACTTGCCTTGGCTTCATTTAACAGCAACGTCATCGAGCTTCTGTCAAAGCCACAGGGTCAGATCCAGTCAACTGGGCAACTCGCCTACTACTCCATCCCAGCACCGGTTCGCCGCCCCCTCCCCCCCGCCAATCGACTCTCGAATACTTTCCCCCCTCCCCGCCTTTCATAATTGCTATCCATTTTCTTCCCCTCACCTTCTTCCTTTCCCTGCAGCGATGATCCTGAGCAAAATATGATTTTGCACACAAAAACAGACAGGAATAGCACAACTTTGGTAGCGGAGCGCAGTGGGCGATGCATCCTCGTTAATCAGAGATCGATCCGCCGTCCGTTGGGCAAACAAAGTCTATTTCAGTTCATCAACGAAAGGAAAGAACATCACCAACCATGCAAACGGCATAGGCATCACGGAAGAACCGGAAGAAAGGCACAGGACTGGTTGTGAGGGGGGGGCCGAGGCGAGACACAACAAAACAACCCCAAAACACCTACTAACTACTGTAATAGACGTAAACAGTGGAAGTGGAAACAAAAAAGAACAGGCAACAAGGACAATGCGAAAGCCAGAGATGACTGGAACGGGGAAAAAAATCTTCAGCACGCGCGGAGAAAAACGAAAAACGATTTTACAGCACTAAATAAAGGTGGACAGCATTGTGAAAACATGAGAAAAGAAAAGTGGATGAATCGGGCCACAGCAGAAGTTAGTTCTGTTGTTTATTCTGAGCAAAGCACAACAACATGGAACAGCATAAAGAGGACTACGATTAGCTGCTTTAGGACAACTCGCCCTTTTATGGCATATATAAGTAGGTAAAGAATTTGCATCAAAAGCGCATTTACTGAAATATAGCGAACGCATAATCCGAGAGATCAAACACTAGTAAAATATAATAGGAACTCAACAGGCATTCTTTATTCCGCAAACAGAATTGCTGACCAGGCTATAATAACAAAAAGTAATCAAATAAAATAGAAACTGACAAGGAGGGCAAGAAGCAAACGAAACGAGAGGTTCGGAGTGTTCGAGAGGCGAAGCCAGCTTAGACAAGAGGAACGAATGGGGGGAGAGAGCCGGGGCGAGAAAGAGAAGGAGCAGAGGGTAGACACGGGGGCTCGCCGCACCACTCGCCAAATGTCAACATTTTGAGTGTATCCAGACTAATTCCATGTACAGATTCGTGCAGAATGTTGGCGATTGGCGAGTGGTGCGGCGAGGCCGATGGATGCCCTCTATGGATACTATCCAGGAACAGACTAACGACAAGCAGTGGCCAACGTGCTCTCGTACACGCAAAAAAAAAAAAACAGTAGAACCAGCGTGTGAACATGTGCACAAGATTCCGCATCAGGTCGAGGCAATAGGGCAGTACAAAAGGGAAAACGAGTGTGAAGACGGTTTTCGCGTAGATGACCAGACGAGAAGAGAAGAGCAGGATGCTAAAGGGAGGGAGAATGAAGAGTGGGCAGGATGAAAATGAGACGAGGAGACGCACAGAAAGAGAGGCGGTGACGTGGACAAACAATTAATTTCGGTTTCTGCAAATTTCAGGGCGGAAAGGGTGCCAGACCGAATGATCGGGTCTCTCACAAAGAGATGCAGAAGTGGATGTCGATCGCTCGACCGAAAGACGTGCACGGACGAACCGAAATGCAGCAAGAAATAGATGCAGGAATGAAAATGAGTGAAAGAAAGAAAGGGAAAAGAACGCGGCCCGTAGAACGACTTGCTTTGCATTACGTGGTAGCGGAAGACAAGATAAGCAAGCCATCAATTGACTAGGAATGAAAATGTTGGATTAACATGCACACAAATGTTCTAAGAAAAAGCGATGTCCTATACCCCTAGACGAAAGGGACTTGATAAAAAGGGAAAACAAAGCAGAGGAGGAAGTGGAGGGAAGAAAGGGAATCAACCCAGCGAGACGAGTGGAAAGAATGACGAGAACGCAGTAGCGGAGCACAAAGAGGACACTACTTGACAGAAAAGGCCAGATAGAAGATCTGGCCTCTATCTCGTTCGACACCGGTCGAATAAATCAATGGAGAGAAGGGGCACGTCTGAATGACGAAGAGAGCAAAGTGAAATGCGATGCATCGCACAAGTCCGCCAGAGGAGATGGAGAAAACATCAAATTACTACAAAGGACGGGGATAAAGAAAACAGGAGCAAGAGGTGTTTACAAAGGTGAATTTCAGAGCACGGTAGAAATGAAAAACACGCGAGAGGAAACAGCCAAAGTTCCAAGACAATTGACCGCCAAAGGACCAAATGTCAGAGAATAGCAAACATAGCGCAGAGAACGGAGAGAGGAGTGGAAGGGGGGGAGTAACTAGAGACGACAAGACAAGGAACTGTGACTGGAAAAAGAAAACATTGGGGGGGGCGTATACGTGCAGGTAACGTGGGAAAAAGTAGCTTCAGATAACCACGTTCAGGAACAACGAGACGATAGGAACCCCGTGAGATGAGGAAAGAGGCAAACAGATTGGCGCGGTGGTCGCTGTCATCCGGTGAGAAAGGAGAGGGGAGAAAAATGAACACAAAGAGACAAGGTCAGGGTCAATGCCAGCGGGGAGAAAGAGTGAAACAGCGATAGAATGGAAGAGGGAAACAGTAAGGGTAACCAAGGATCACCACAAGGATCGAAAGATTTTACAGGCGGGCACAAATTCCCTCTGCGGCCCATAAAGATATGAGTCGCAGAGCACATCGCAGAGCAAACGCTAGTAAATGCAAGCGCATACGAGTCGCACGTCGCAGAACAAACACTAGTAAACGCAAGCGCACACAAACCCATACCCGCGCGCGCGCGCACACACACACACACACACACACACACACACACATAACACACATAACACACATAACACACATGACGGACATAAACACACGGAGACATACACACAGGCCCTGACAGACAGGAATCCATACTACGAACTACCGGCAGCTGGTGACGCAGAAGTATATGGAAGATTCCTAGAGTGGAAATCCTGCACGATGCACACGAGGGAAACACAGCCTGGGTGCTAGAGAGCAATACGCAGTAAGTAAGATCTTACCTGAACAAGCGCAAGGACATGAAGGTCAAGAGCCGACGTACGCGGAAAGTAGAACAAGGGGACCTCTCTCTCTCTCTCTCTCTCTCTCTCTCTCTCTCTCTCTCTCTCTCTCTCTCTCTCTCTCTCTCTCTCTTCACATTATTGTCGAAGTGAAGAAATATTACTTACACTGACACACTCTTCAGGATTGGGAACATCTTGAAGATCTTCCGATTGTATGTACTCAAACTCTACAGCCGGGGGCCCTGCAGGCACTTCATTCTTGGCACCTTCCTCACTTCCTTCGGGCTGCTTGCACGTTCCACCATTGTTCACCGCCGCCATCTTCATATTGCCGCCATCAATTACCCCATTTATCTTCCCGCTACCGTCCTTGTTTTCCACATCCACATGGGTCATAATAGCGTCGCTTTTCTGAGGAGTAACACTTCTGGGCACTATTCCAGCACGGCGCTCAGGAGGTCTACCAACGGCCAGCTCCCGCAATGCCGTTCTTCGAGCAGCGGTACCCGACATATTCCCAATGGTGTAAGCCTGCAACGATCGGCAAAACCTATAGGGTAGCAATAGTCGTGACCCCGCTGTCCTCTGCTTGATACGCCTCTCCCCTCCCGTTCGCTTGCTTGCTCCTATTTAGAGTCCCCCGCTTACCACACCCCACATTCTATAAATGACCCCTCCGGGATTCTGCAAATGACGCGCCCAGAACCCGCACCCAGCGGCGCCCCGATCACACCACAACCAACCAACTCGGCCGAACTCCACTCCGTTAATTAACCAGCCCAGCTGCCGTCTATCCCGCTTGATTAAATCGCTGCTGCTTCTCTTGCTCGCGACCGCCGCACCATCGCATCCCTCACATTACATTCCTCGAGTCATACTGTAATAACCAAAATTTGCCGACAGCTAGCTAGCTCTCTCTACGTGTGTGCCTGTTGCACAATCCTTGCATCAGCATCGTCCGCAATGCACTCGAGCGCACGGCAGACTTCAACGAGCTGGATGCGTATATATTGTCACAGCGAATGCATACCATATATAAATTTATACACGCATCTTTTGCATAGATATACGAGATGCGAGCTTCTAAAAATCGCCGGACAATCGCAAATTGAGACCGGGCAACTCCTCGACCGGCAGCTGAGCGGCGGCGGTAGGACGGAAGAGAGCAGGGCGCTGTGCCAGCTCTCGCCGCTATTACCGGTAGTTAAGTGAGCCTGCCACTTTCTCACCCGCGGCGGAAGCACTCACCTTCGTCGTCTCTCGCGTCCCTGAGTGTGTTAGCACCCGCAAGTGCAGAAGCAAGAGTGTCTCCGTGACTATCACTTTCCCGTGTCAGTCCGCTTATTGAGAAAATAACGAAGCACCGGCGCGTTACCGTTCGTCGGGCAACAGCAACACGCAATCCCGGGCACGCAGCAAGCGTCCGCGGCAATATCAAGGCGATCGAGTAATGCGCGGGGCTATACGGAAGACGGCAACAGGCAGAGTCGGCTGTTCGCGTGATCGGAAAGGCCATGAGACACAGAAAAAGGGACGGTTCTTACAGAGAAAAGTGAAAAAGAGGTAGGGACGGGCACTGTCTAGATTCCACGCCACCTCCGGCTCGTAGGAAATACTGCGAGCCCTCTCCGCGGGCGAGTCAACAAGGCCTGAACTCCACATCACCTCACAAGCGATATGATTCAATCAGCAATCATACCTTTTGTGCCAGGTGAGGGCATGATCGGCAGAAACGGTCCTTTGTTGGCTCCACATCACTAGTAACTACCACCATTCGCTAGCCTCCCTTTTTACCCAGTCGAGGGAAACCAACACGCGCCACGCCGGTATTAGAGTGTGGCTTTATATCATAGAGAGGGCCTGCAGACGTCCGATGGCATCAGATCTGCCGAAGGTCCACGTGGAAAGGCTGCCACGCGGACTACCGATGTACTCAACTGCGGTAGGAGTGAGCGGAAGAGAGAGGAGTATTGCGGGGACAGGTAGAGGTAGGCCGTCGAATCGTCGGAACAAGGTGGGACCCGCACCTTTTCTACTGCGTGAAGCTACCCAGCGGCTATGGACTTCAGCGGGGCCGTGCATCTGCGTCACCATGCGGCCAGCCTTTCGGCCTAAACTGTGGGCCCAAGACGTGCACTATATATAACGCGCCGGAAAAAACTCTCAGCCCCTGCATCTCGTGCGCCTGGAATGTGTGAGGCAATACAGCGCGGGAGAAATACCACCCACCCTGTGGCGTACGTGAAAGGGGGAAAACACCAGTGGATCTGACGTGTATGGAATGTGGAGCGATCGATTTGAATTCGAAAGCAATCGCCACCATCTTGACACACTCCGGCGGCTCGACAACCGCCGTCTTCCCGCCTTCGCGCAGAAGTGTGCCAAGCGGCAGACGGCAAGGTTCCACCTCCTGTGGCAAACTGTAATGGCCCAGTTCCGAAGCCCCACAAACTTTGCAAGGGAATTCCATGTCCTGTACAAGTGGAGAAAGCAGTTGGTGCCGGGCGTATGGCCAAACCAACCGTCCCCCTGAGAGCTGTCATTTTTCACTTTTCTTTACCAGGGAAATTCTCGATATGCCCCTGAAAGTTCGATTGTACACGGCGTGCCACTCCTACGGCCCACTTAGGGCACACTCACACTGTGACCCGAAATCCGCAAATATGCGGATTTCGAGGGCCGATTTGAGGTTTGGACATGGTTCCGGTCGCACTGCTGTACCTTTTCAGATGGGACAAGGCCCTGGCCGTCTGGAGCAATGGCGATTTGGTACTTCGCTGGTCACACGGCACCATCCACAAATTGTGCAAGAACTTTCGCGAACAATTTTTTTATTTTTTATTTTTTTTTGCACCAGTACCTTTCCCACGTGGGAAAATAGGGAAAACTCCTTCGATAAAGGAAAACGTGGAAGCTAGGCGAGTACAACCGAGCAAGGGTAAGGGAGTCGCAAGAAGCCAGAGCGTGAGGCTGAGTCTGTCCTCGGATGACGAGAGTCCCGTGACACCCATACGGGTGGCGGCGACTAAGTCTGTCAGGGCGTCCTCCTCTAAGAAGGCCGACACCGATTATGTGATGGCAGAGAAGGATGGGCAAAGGATTGAAGGGGAGGAAGTTATACTCTCGCCACGCAAACGTGGAACTAAAAAGTTCACCATGAAGAGCATTTTGGATGATATAGATATGGTCGAGCCTCTCAGACGCGCGCTTAGTCAGCCGATGCAATGTACGATACTTGAGTATTTGGCAGCCTCAAGACCTGCGCGAGATGAGTTGCAGATGATCACGCGCACGACGCGCACCCCCCTGAGCGATGAAGTCCAGATGACTACCAAACAGGAGGTACTACCTTCTGTAGCAGTATCGAGCGTGGTCGCTAAGGCGGACCGTGCAACAACGGTGTTCTTAGATGGGATGGAAGTCAAATGCTTTCCATCAAACGCCCAGATGGTAGACGAATTATGATGGAGACGGTAGAGCCTCGTGACCCTAGGAACAGAGCGATTCTAGCAGCGGGGAAATCGGTCGCCCTTGCGAGTCGTTCCTTGAGCTTTCGCGAAAAGAAGTATGGACCACTACTTATGGAAGAAGAAGGTCGGATAGTGGAAGTCGAGGATTTAGGAAATCGTGTCCGTGTGGAAGGAAACTCCTATCCTAAGGCAGAAAATGAAGAATTCGGAGGAATGATCTCTGTGTTTTTTTTTTAAGGGCACAGCCCCCTACGGGGGGCTACCAAAACTACACAAGAAAGTAGTTCAGAAAGTCAAGCCGGCGGTTGTAGCTCGTGAGCGATCCACGCTAGATGGTGTATCTGAGGAAGAGATCGCCAGGGAAATTAAGGACAAGAAGAGAAAGGAGTTGCAACGATTGACAAAGAAGAGGACAGCGGAGATGGACATAGGAGATGGAAACTTGACTGAGCAGGAAAAGGCACGCGTGCTGAAAGTTCTTAAGACCTGTGACAAAGCTATAGCCTTCAGTGACGCGGAAAGAGGAAGAATTGATCCTAGGTATGCTAAGCCTGCTATGATCTACACGATTCCGCATACGCCATGGAATGACGCGGGGTGGAAGTTTGCCCATAAAGAAAAGGAGGAAGTTATTTCCTTTCTCAAGGAGAAGATGACGTCGCATGTAGCAGAGCCATCTGATAGCTCGTACGCGAATAGGTGGTTCTTCTTGAGGAAGCCTAATGAGAAGATTCGGTGGATTCAAGACCTCCAGAAGGTCAATGCTGTGACGATTCGAGATGTAGGATCCATATCACACGCTGATCTATTAGCAGAAGGAACAGCAGGCAGGTCCATTTATTATGTCTGCGATTTATTTTCAGGATACGATGAGATACCACTAGATCCGAAAGATAGGCATCTCATAGCCATGCACACGCCACTCGGATTGGTGCAGATGATGGTCGTACCTATGGGGTGGACCAACGGGGTAGCAGTCTTTCAGAGAGCCATGATAGCTGTTTTGAAAGAATTTATACCTGATAAAGTTGAGGTTTTTTTGGACGACTTTCCGATAAAAGGACCCGTGCTGAAAGACGAAACGGAAGTCGCTCCTTGCGTCAGGAGGTTCGTGGAGCAACACATGACGGACATTAACGCTGTCTTGGAACAGTTAGATGAAGCTAACCTGACAATGAGCGGAACAAAGAGCCGATGGGCGGTGTCAACGATCAAGATTCTGGGATTTATATGCGATTCGAGGGGTTGCCGAGCTGACCTAGGCAAGTAAGAGAAACTCCTAAACTGACCGACACCGTTGCAAAGTGCTACTGAGGTCCGCCAATTCTTAGGAGTGGTAGGTTACTGGAGGATTTTTATACGCGGCTATGCCGAAAAGGCGGAGCCCCTGCGGACTCTTCTTAGGAAGACCGAAAAATTTTACTTGGACTCTCCAAGAGCTTGCAGTACAATCCATCAAGGAAAAATTTAAAGAAGGCGGTCAGATTCTAGGCGTACCTTTCTTTGAGGATGAGACTAACAGGCCATTCATATTGTCTACGGATGTTGTACTGTGTTCGGTAGGAGGATTACTTTCCCAAAAATATGTCGACGGTAAGGAAATACCACTGAGATTCGAGAGTCGTACGCTTAACACTGTTGAACGCAACTACAGTCAATTTAAGAAGGAGGTGTTAGCTGTTCTGCGGCGTTTAGACGCCTTTAGGCATACATATATGGAAGACGATTCGTTCTCAGGATAGACCCTACAGCGGTAGCATCAGTCTTACAAAAGGACTTCAGTCTGACTGATCCTACGATTGTGCGGTGGTTGATCAGGATCCGACTCTACGATTACACTGTGTAAAGGATCTCAGGAACAAAGAACGCCGTGGCTGATGGACTCTCATGGATTTCGATTGAGGCGGAGTGATCGATAGCAGTTGCTGCACTGACCATGACTGAGCCTAGACGTTCGGATAGCTTCCTAGTCAACCTCTATGAAGGTAAGTACCGCACTATAGGACTGCACCTGTCAGGAGAGGAGAGTGCTGATTCGAAGATTAGGAGACAAGCGGCACAGTATTGCCTTAGAGCTGGACATTTATTCCGCCGGCCTGTCGGAGCGGGGATGCCTCTTCGGGTGATCTGTGATCCAGAAGAAAAAACAGTCCATAATAGTCGAGCTGCATGACGGTGTAGTTGGGGGACATAGAGGAGTAAAAGGGACGTATGAGAAGGTCCGCAGATTATACTGGTGGGAAGGACAGTCCAAGGATGTCGAAAGGTATTGCGAGACTTGTGAGGATTGTCAGAAGAGATCCCTTATCAGATATAAGGAACCACTTCACCCTTCATATCCTACTAGACCTGGAGAGAAAGTACATATTGATCTGGTGAAGATGCCGAAAGGCGTGGGGAACATGAACTATGTAGTGAATATCAGGGACGACTTTACGGGATTTGTCGACGGCAAGTCTATTTGAACGAAAGCTGCAAAAGAGGTTACGAACTTCGTCCTATAATATCTTTCTAGATACGGGTGTGTCAGTAAGATTGTGATGGATAAAGGGACAGAGTTCCTAGCGAATGAGGTTCATAGCGTGTTCAACAAAGCAGGAGCTAGAGTATCTATAGCTACTGTCTATCACCCTCAGTCCAATGCGCCTGTACAGCGAGGCCACTAGTCTTTAATAGCATCTTTATCCAAGTGGTGTAGAGGGAAAGATAGTGACTGGCCGAAATATTTTCGGTATGCGATTTGGGTGCATAATGTCACAGTTCGGGCTAGCACAGGCTATCCTCCTTACACTCTATGGTTTGGGAGACACTGCCCTCTGCCTATAGAGGTCCATGTCAACAGTTGAACTACAGTTACCTGGACAGATAACAGGACGCGAGAGGAATTACAGGCAGCTAGGACTAGATAGATAGCTTATGGACTGGAAAATAATCTCATGACCGCGGCTAATCGAC